ATTTCTTTTTCTTTTTTTTTTGTGGTGAGTGTACTTAAGATCTGCTGCTCTCTTAGCTGCTTTCAAGGGTGTAGTGCAGTACCACTAGCTGTGATCACAATGCTATACATTAGGTCCTCAGAACTTACTCATCTTATAAAGGAAAGTTTGTCCTCTTTGACCAACATTGCCCCATTTCTCTCACCCCCGGTCCCTGGTAGCCGCCATTCTTTTTTAGATCTTGCTTGCCATGTTCAAGTTAGCTCCCTACCTTTTTTTTTTTTTTAAAAAAGAACTGTTATATTTCTTTTTGTGGGGTTATTTTCTATTGTTTATCTGCTTTTACAAAGAAGTAAATTGCACGGGCCTAAGTTTATTACTTTAGTTTGTTTATTTGTTTATTATTGATTTGAACATTCACTCATGGGTTGTTTCCTGGGTAGTTGGGTGGGTAATGGACATTCCAACTGAGAGGCTGAAAATGAAGTTCAAGGAGTGGAATTAAATGTTACAGTAATGCTCTCTTATCTAGAGTATCTTTCCCCTGGAGCTTGAAACTCTTACATCACATTCAGAATGATTTCTTTTTGGATCCTTCTAAGACCTCATATTGGTTGAACTTGTAAGTGAACATACAATACTCATCGGGTCTGAGATTGTGGCCTAACATCATGCTGCTGTTGGTTCTATATGTTCCCTATAACTGATCTTTTAAGTGATGCAGTACACAGCTGAGATGCATCATTTCATTATCTATGTGCTCAGACATTTCTGATGGGCTGGCTTATCTTCACTTTCGCAGTCTGAACGCCGAGAAAAAACAAAACAACACATGAAAGCAAACACATTTAATTGTAAAATGTTTTACTTGAGTTCAATTAAGATCATTAGAAAATACTTTAAAAATTAATAAAGTTGGAACTGTGAACTCAATCAGAAATATCCGTATTGAGTTAAAAATGATGCTATTAATTCAAGTGATAGTCTGTTTCAACTGGATTTTCTCTCTGTTCATTTTAATTCTGGTGGTTTGCCCCAGATCTAGACAGAATAATCAAACCTGGTTCCTGGACTTGGGGATTGTCCAAACCCTCACTGAGGGCTTGGTGACTTGTTGGAGAGCTTTCTTCTTGCTTTGGGTTCCAATTCTCGTCCTGGCCCCACTATACCCTTAAGAGCCACAAAACCACTTCCTTGAGATATTTGCTTGTGTAGCCCACTCTACTGTAGATTTGGGAAAGTGATAGAGGGATTTTCATCACAGATATACATAAAGTTAAAGTTGGGTGCTGTGTGGACCTGCTCTTCAATTCCCCGGCTCTGCTATAGCTGAGTCCGAAGCTCCCATGTGTCAACGGACACTAGTTTCTCACTTTTTCCTCCTTGTCTTCTTGCTTTTTCAGGGCTTTCACTCTTTATTCTGTTCCTTCCTTCTCAGGGTATAAAATCAGTCTCCATGTTTATTTACCTTTTAATTTAATTTAATTTTTAAAAAATATTTTATTTATTTGTTTATTTGAGAGAGAGAGAGAGAGTGAGCATGAGCAGAAGGAACGGGAGGCAGAGGGAGAGGGAGAAACAGATCCCCTGCTGAGCAAGGAGACCTACATGGGGCTCTCCCATCCCAGAACCCTGGGATCATGAGCTGACCTGAAGGATGGAGCCACCCAGGCGCCCCTTTAATTTTATTTTAAATGCAGAGCAGTTAAGCTCTCACCAGCTCCAACAGCCAAATGAAGTTTGGTGCCTGCATTTACATGTTTAAGGATGTAGTCTAATTAGAAACGATCCTTCGAGAGGTCTGTCTACCTACATTCTTGGGCAGTGGCTGTCTTCCTCCTCATTTCTGTCTCGAGGTGAGCATGGTGGTGGGGAGAGAGGAGTGCCACGCCTAGAGGAGAGGTAAAAAACCATGGCTTGGACCCAGTCCAGATTTGAATTCTGGCTTCACTTCCTGGCTATGTGGCCTAGGGCAAGTTCCTTGACTTTCCTGAGCCTGGTTCCCTTATCTCTAATGTGGGGATATATAACTTTCTTGCAAATTGCAGAAAGATAAAATGGAGTAACACTTCTAAAGCACCTGGCTGAGCGCAGGAACTCGACAAAATGTTAATTTCCCTCCCCTCTCAACCTCAACGGACAAATGCTTTCCTTGAGGGCTACATATATAAACATTAAGTATTTCTAAATTGCATAATTCAAAAAAAACTTAAAAAGGAATCTTACTCTGGGTATTTTTGATGAAACAAATAATCATCCCCACTTGTCTTTGCTGCAAATCTGTACTTTTAGGTACAGCTTATGGCATTTATGTGCATTTCTCAGCAGAGTGAGACTTGATTGAACCCCTCCAACTCTCTATGTAGCTTCAGAGACACTGGAAATATTAGGTATTGATCGTGTGATTTGAACCCAATTAAGTGGCTGAGGCCTAGAGCTGTCCCCAGGGTATTCCTTGCAGGTGGATTTGGCAGAGCTGAATAGGTAACGAGAACATAAGCACTAGTTAAGGCTTGTGCTTTGGTCTGATGGCACTCACACAGCGCAGTGAAAATGGATATTTTGCCAGCAGAAAGGACTTGCCATCTGTCTTCCTCTAAAGCAGAGCAGACCGTAGCCTCTGATGAGTAAGTGATAGTTGTCAATTAGGTCAGTTAGACATGGGCTAAGACAGCTGGTACACATCCCGTGCGGCCGGATTTTAAATCCTGGGGTGCCAGGGTTTATTTTAGAAAGAGCATCCAGTGTGATAGCTCATATTCCTGGGGGCAGGAAAAAAATAAACTTTAACAGAAAAGATTTTTTTTTTCCTATGGCCCAGTCTGTTGCCTGGGGGTCTGCCAAATTGAGTCCACGGCATGTTTTGGTCTAACCTGTGAACTAAGAATGGCGTTTGCATATTTGAAGCTTTGTAAGTGGAAAAGAAAAGAAAAACATGCAACAGAAATCGTATGTGGCCCACAAAGCCTTAAATATTGACTATCTGGCCCTTACAGAAAAAGATCGGCAATGCCAAGTCAAGAGAGTTTGAAATATCTGAGGCTAAGTAAGGCAAGAGGTAATGATGATTCACTTTTTTTGGTTAACCTGACTTGTGGCAAACAGTGTGCCTGTCCTAACAAAGCTTCATGGTTGTTGTTCAGGATAAATACAATCACATTTCAGTATTTAATTGTGTCCCGTTATCTCCACATGGGGTCATCCCAACTTTGTCCAGGGACCAGTATCTCTATTTGTTGTTTCAGAAGTAGCTCATATGTCTGTCACCTCCCTCTAAAGGGCCCACTTGTCATTTCCTCATCACAGCTCACTTGCTTCAGGATTCTTCCTACACTGTCCCCTGGCCTGAGAGGAGTCGGCAGGGGCCAGCTCAGAAAGGGCTGCTCACGTATTTTCCGCCTTAGTCTGTACAGGCTGAGTCCAGGCGAGGATTTTCAGCTGGGGAGTATGTGATCAAAGACAAATTAAATATACCTGGTGCAAAAGTATGAGCTCAGGTATCTGCGGGGACTGCAGTATATGGATTGACCTCCTGGAAGGAGTGAGGCCTGGATTGGACACTGCAGGATAGGCACGATTGGGGAAGGGCATAGGCAAAGTTCCAGAGGTAGAAGGGGGTGTCTCATGGAATGTCCTGCCTTGCATTGGAGCTTTTCCAGTAGTGCAAAATGAGGTTGGATCATCAGTGTGGCCAATTTATGTGAATTGAAGGTGTATGGAATTCCAAATCCCTCAGCCAGTGAGGAGTTATTGTCACTTATTTTAAAAAGAACAGTGTGTGTGTGTGTGTGTGTGTGTGTGTGTGTGTGTGTGTGTGTGTGTGTGCTGCAGGGTAAGGGAGCAGGGGTTGTCAAATGACAGCCATGAAATTGGTACTACTTGTTACCCTCTAACTCCGTGCTGGGCACTGGGCTGAGGGCATTACACAGACCATCTCATTTAATCCTCAAAACTCTGAAAAAAGGGATCCCTGGGTGGTGCAGCGGTTTGGCGCCTGCCTCTGGCCCAGGGCGCGATCCTGGAGACCCGGAATCGAATCCCACGTCGGGCTCCCAGTGCATGGAGCCTGCTTCTCCCTCTGCCTGTGTCTCTGCCTCTCTCTCTCTCTGTGTGTGACTATCATAAATAGATAAAAATTAAAAAAAAAAAACTCTGAAAAAAAATCCTCAGAACTCTGTGGGGAGAGGTATTATCCCTGGTTTGCAAATGAGAACATTTGCATTTACAGAGGTTAAAATAACTTGTCTTCAGTTCTGAAGTTAATAGTGGGCAGAGAGCCTTGCTGGTCTGATCCGGAGCCCAAGCTCTCACCTCCTGCCATTCTGAAACAAGCTGGCGTAAAACACTTTAACAAAAACAGAAAAGGGAATAATGAAAAGCAACTGAGAGCCTGCCTTCCAGGAATGACATTTTGGGTGACAATCCTTCTAGACATCTTTCTATGTATATACACAGTGATATGTATGCATTTTGCATAACCCATGCCCAGATTGCCTAAATCCTGTGCCTGCAAATTTCACATAAATGGCACCACACTAAACATCCTAGTTTTCTCCCCCATCCCCCCCTTAAACCATTTTAAAAATTTTCCTAAATGGGCATATGTTGTCACTGCACCCACATTTGTGTAACCAGTCTCCTCTGGATCATTTCAGCTTCTTTTCTTTTTTTTTCTTTTAAGATTTATTTATTTATTTGAGAGAGTGAGAGTGAGAGGGAGAGCATGTGTGAGAGCAGGGGGAAGGTGGGTGTGGAGGGTGGGGGTGGGAGGCGCAGCGGGCTAGACATCGAGAAGAGTCTCCAGCTGACTCCCTGCTGACTGCAGCGCCCAACTCAGGGTTCCAGCTCATGACCCTGAGGTCACGACCCAAGCTGAAACCAAGAGTCAGACACTCAACTAACTGAGCCACTCAGGTGCCCCAATCATTTCAGTTTCTTGAGCAAGGAAAAAATTTGAGAGCTTTTTTTTTTTTTTTTAAAGATTTTTAACTAAATCTCCTGCTTTCTCGCTCTCTTTGCAGCATGCCCTTGACGCTGACAACGCAGGAGTAAGTCCGATAGGAAACTCTTCCAACAATAGCAGTCACTGGGACCTTGGAAGTGCCTTTTTCTTTGCTGGGACTGTCATCACCACCATAGGTATCCGTTCGTTTGCTAATATCTTTTCCTCTGGGGGCCAGCCAGAGAAACAGTGCTGGGTCAACCTTTGGTCCTAGAACCATGGCAGCTTGAGTGTGGAAGGAGGCTCATGGAACATGGTCAGATAACTGTGGTAGTTGTTGTAGTGGCTCTCCCTATAAGGCAAAGCAGACTAAGGGGTTTCACTTCTCAAAATGAGAGGCGAGAGAGCCTCTAGTTTGAAAGGACCTAATGAAATGGTCAGAGTGGAGAATCAAAAGATGGAGTGGCCAGTGGAGCTCAAATTCCCTTTTACAAATTGTACTTTTTACTAAGGTTGCCTATGAAAGAACCCCAGAGTTCTACAAAGTCTGTTACGAATGCAGCCAGTCTGCTCCTCCCCAGTGGTGGCTGGTCCCTACCTCCCCTGGGGCAACCACGCTTATCTCTTCTGATTGATTATTTTGATATCCATTTCCTTGTTTTTGTTAGGGATTATTTTTTGACTTCTGATTGTGGAAGGTGAGAAATTACAGTAGTCCCCCCCCCCCCCCCCGCCACACCTCACCCAACCTCATCCACACTTTTGCTCTGTGGTTTCATTCACCCTCGGTCACCTGTGGTCCGGAAGTGGATGATCTCCCTTCTGATGCATCATCAGAAGATGACTAGTGTGGCCTCATGCTAAATCACAATGCCTGTGTCCTTCACCTCACCCATCTCATCACGTAGGCATTTTTTCATCTCACAGCATCACAGGAAGAGGAAGAGCAAGTACAGTACAATATGGTATTTTGAGAGACATTCACAAGACTTTTATGACAGTATATTATCATAATTGTTCTATTTTGTTATTAGCTATTGTTGTTAATCTCTTCCTGTGCCTAATGTGTAAATTAAACTTTATCATAGGGATATATGTATAGGAAAAAACGTGGTATATGTAGGGTTTGGTACCATCGGTGGTTTCAGGCACCATTGGGGGTCTTGGAACATATCCCCTGCAGAGAAGGGGGGATGTCTGTAGTTCTCTTTCTTCCTCCCTGCCCCACTGTAGAGGGCTCTCTTCCCATCTTCCTATCTTCCCAATACAGCTTGATTAGATTAACAGTGAATGTTTGCATGATTTTGACCAGGGAAATGCTCTTTATAACTGATCCTGTAGTGGTCTCTGATGACTTCTTTCCTACACTGATTTTTGTCTCACTATATCTATGTGTGTCTTTTTTTTCTGATTCTTGGAGAGTTTTATATTTTTGTGTTGGGGGTTAACTTCATAATCATACATAAGAAACTTAGTTTCCCTTCTTCAAGCAGTATTTATTAGTTCCCTATCATAGGGGATGACACCTCTTCTTCTCTCCACGCAATTTTAGTTGACACCATAGGGGATGACACCTCTTCTTCTCTCCACGCAATTTTAGTTGACACCATCCTTTTAATGTTTACTTTTAAATGATTAAATATGCTTACAGTTCTATTCGGTGATTTGCTCACTTCAAATGGTAACTCTTGGCTCTCAGCTATTACATATCATGCAATCAGTGAACTTACTCAGCATCTCAACTTCTTTGGCCCTTGGGCTGTCGATGACACTTATATTTGTTTTAGTCCTCGTTCCATGGTTACATATTGTCACTGTTCTTCTCTAGTCTTTCTGTGGTTTTGCCCATCATCACTTGCTCAGTGGAAACTGATCTTTAAGTAGTTGCCTTAAGAATGGCTCATGGGAGCAATGTTCCTTGAGTCTTTGCATTGCTCAAAATGGCAGCCTTATTCTCAAGGGGCAGTGTTGCTGGAATCGAAATTCTTTTTTTTTCTTTTTTTTTTTTTTAAGATTTTACTTATTTATTCATGAGAGACACACACACATACACACACACACACACACACAGAGGCAGAGACACAGGCAGAGGGAGAAGCAGGCTCTCTGCGGGGCACCCTATGCAGGACTCAATCCCAGGACTCTGGGATCACGATCTGAGCTGAAGGCAGACGCTCAACCACTGAGCCACCCAAGTGCCCCTGGAAATGAAATTCTTGACTCACATTTTCTTTTTGAGAAAGAAAAACACATCTTCTGAGTGATAGCCCACTCTTTTCTGATATCTGTGCTGCTGTGGAGAAACCTGACACCAGCCCAGTTTTACTCCCATTTGTAAATGATTTGACCTTTTTTGTTTGGCTACTCAAAAAAGGTCATTTATCTTCGGTCTGATAATACTAGTAGGTTTTGTTCCTTTCAGCAAAGTGTTCTTGATTGTCATCTTTAAACATGTTCTCTGCCATATGGTTTGGTTCTGTTCTTTTGGGATTCTGACTGTACGTATATTGTCACTTCTTTGCCTGTCTTCTGTGTTTGCCGTTTTGCCCTTTGCTTCTTTTTAACTCATAACATGTGACTTCCATTTTGTTCATTTTACCTTCTCTATTCCTTTCCTGTTTTTGCACAGTGCCTATTTTGCTGCGTGCTCCTTCCAATTTTATTTTCATTTTTGTGATCATCAGGGGACTTTTTTCCCTTCGTGTTTCTTTCCTGAATTCCATTAGCTCACATTCCATTTTCCCTTGTTATCTTTCTGATTCTTTCCTGATTTCTTGCTTCTATGCTTTGTGGTTTTACTGTTATGGTTCTTGGGAGTGATTACTTCATAGTTGGTCACACTTTTCATCTGGTTGGGGCAGTATTTTTCTGCTCAGTGTCTTTCATCCATTGGTAAGGTTTGCTGCTCCTTCCACAGTTTTGAAAAAAATAGAAGCTTTATATTTATGCTGGGCTGATTTCCTTTTTAAATTCTTGATACCCAGCAAACTGGATTTGCCTGATCCAGCTATCTGGCAAGTGATTCTGTGGGGCTGGAGAGAGGAGAGCCGGGAGAGGTAGGGTAACCTCCCAGGTAGTGCATTCCCAACTCTCTGCTTTTCTGTTGCCAAAGAGAGAGAGGGTTTCCTGCAAATGTGACCCATCTATGTTATTCTCTGTTTAGTCCTGCCTCTTTAATCTTTCTGGACAAGATCAAGTACAAGGGGGCTTCTGCTGCTCTCTCTCTTCACCCTGTTTTTTATACTTGGTGCAAACAAGGATATCTCTTTTGAAGTTCAGAATGAGACCCTCACCTTCATAATTGGATTTCTGCTGGCACTTTCTGGGATTTCCCACTGATGGGGTCTTTCTTCCTTCTCTGTGTCTCCTCTCTTTATTTTTTTCCCCACGTGGCATCCATCTAACTCTTTTAGTAATCCTTATACATATGGGGGAAGGTATCAATAAGATTCCTTTCCCAGTTCTGCTGAAAGTGAGAGTTTTCTGCCCCTCTACAAAAGTGTAGTCACACTGTAATAAAAATCCTCATTCTAAAGAATGGGAGACACAGCATTGAGAGAGGCCCCTCTGCCATCCAGGTGGGACAGTCTCATCATTAACACCTTTTATGCTCTCTGGGAGGACCTCCCTCATCTGTTGCTCTCTGAGGTGCAGCTGTGCCTTCTGGAAGTTTCTTCCCTCTCCATTACCCTTCATGACTACCTCTTATGCGGCTGTTGGATAGTGTGCCCTCCTTGGAGGATATACATCTTTGATGATCTACTTCCTATTGGTGCAAGTTTCAGAGGCTGAGGATTGTTTTATTATTTGTTTGTTTGTTTGTTTATTTATTTATTTATTTATTTATTTGAGAGAGAGACAGAGATAGCCACAGAGATAGTGAGAGAGAGCATGAGTGGGGTGGAGAGGGAGAAGTAGGGAGCCTGACTTGGGGCTCGATCCTAGGACTCTGAGATGATGACCTGAGCTGAAGGCAGACGCTTAACCAACTGAGCCACCCAGGTGCCCCTAAGCATTGTTTTAGAGGCACAGGCTTTTGCTGCTGTTTTTAGACCTAGCCTTTAGGACCCGTGTTGTTTCTGCATTGGTCTGTTCAAGGATGTTGTATGCAATAAGAAAATTCGGGATGAAAGAGATTTGGCATTTCAGCTCCTAGCAAAGGAAGCAGGGTGGTCTAGAACCATTTGATATAAGGGCAACAATTGCTATAAAACTCAATGGCACCCAGGAGCATCACTGTAGTGGCTCAGAGAAGACCAGTGTTGGGTTAAATTGTGTTCATCAGTCTGGTTACTAAGATGGAGAAATGTATTATGCATTTTAGGAGGGTTTATAGTAAAATAATTAAAACTAAGGAAGTCTGGGCCACTTCAAGAGGTGCATTTTGGAAAATGCACTCCAGTACCCAGTGTTGGATCCATGAGACATTAGTATATGTTAAAGAAGACAGAAAAAGGAAAATCCTAATTTTCTTGGTTTATAAAATGGTTAAATCAGTGATCTGTAGGATGCACTTAAAAAAACTATAGCTATGTTGGAATGCACACTGATGTTATTTATTGTGTCAACTTGTTAGGATCCCAGGGGCTTGGTTTATTCATGACCTTATATAATGGGAAGTGGTGGTTCCATCTGCCTAATGAGAAATATTTGATACGTAACATTCGCTGCCCTTTTTAATGTGTGTATGCTGGAATCTTTGAGTTTGTGTAAATCACTCTTAGTCCTTGGTTTCTGCTGCTTGGTGTCCATACAGTTATACACCCTCGTCTCCTGATAATAAGGTCCTGAGTGGTCCCCTTCCGTATGCTTGGCCTCTAGGTCTCAGGGAATGAATCACCTTTTCTAGACCAAGAAATCTAGTGCTTTGCATGTGTCTGGTCACAGTTCTTGGTTTAGAGGTGGATGTGAGATCTAGATTAGGCCAATAAGAAACCCAGTTCCTGGGCTTTTGCTTACTCTTTGGAGGAAGTGACTTCCTCTCTTTCTCCCTGGAGGTAAATCTGGAAAGAGGTAGGCCCAAGATGCTGCAGTCATGTTTTTGGCTAGAATTCAGATAACACTAAAGAAGCAGCAGAAGAAAAACAGAGTGATAAATGGGGTTCTGCTAACATCTTTGAACTTTGGGTGAAGCTACCCTCGAAGTGTTAAGAAATAAATGTTAAATCCCTTATTTACTGGGGGCAGTGCATTTCTG